TTCCTGGGGGAGTTCACCAGGGGTTAAAAATTTTTTGGGGAGGGAAACCCCCCAAAAAAAAAATAAAGTCCTGGGGGCGTTTCCCCCCCCCCCAAGAAAAAAACCCAAAGTCCCCACCCCCCTTGGCGGGGGGGCGCCCCCCCCTTCTGGGGTCCCCCAAAAACCCCCCGGGCTTTTCGCTTTTGGAATTGAAAACCCCGGTCCCGGAAAAACCCCGGGGTCCCCCCCCCCGTTTTTGGGGGGGGGGGGGTAAAAGGTCAAAAGGATTGGGCCGCCCCGGATTTGGGGCCCCCCCCCCCCCCCCCCCCCCCCCCCCCCCGCCCTGCTCACATGCGACGCGATTTTTCGAACACCAATGAAGGCATTTGCCTAATCTTCCCGAGGGGGGCTACACTATGCTCGCGGTCGGTTTTGCTGCCGGGCCTCGCGCAGACGCGGTGACGTCTGTCAAGCCAAAAGAGGCTCTCAAGAAGGCCCTTGACCAGCTGGATGACATGTTCAGGGGACGAAAGTGGCTTGAGGGCGGTGGGTGCACCGGTAAAGGTGATTGGGAAGAAACAGTGGAAGTACACACCGGTATTGCACCGGAGCACTGCGAACCGCGCCGTGAGACCAGCGTTAGCGGGGGACAAGGCGAGGGCACACTAGCGGAGCTTCCGAGCTCAGCGTATGTCGGAGGCCTGGTTCACGATTGGGTGAAAGACGAGCCGTTCGTGCGGGGTGGTTATTGCTACCCGCGAATCGGGTTCGACGAGACTACTCATGCTCACCTGGCCGCTAGCGTCAACGGAACGTTGTTTTTTGCTGGAGAACACACCAATACACCAACCGGCACGACGGTCCATGCTGCGATCGACTCGGGAGATAGGTAAGATGTTTTTGCCAACAGTCACCTCGTTTCCCCAAAGTTCTCCATTTTGAAATATATCAATCATTGCTCAGGCTGCTTAACTACGCACGTTCTGGTTGTCATAGTGAAATACCATTCGGCCGAGTGGGTCGAAACCGACACGACACCAGAACACGGTTTGCAGTTTTGCTAGCTGGGAAGCACCGCCGTGTACCGCACAAGAAGAGTTGAAAACAAACAATACGGTGAGATCACGATCGTTCCTTTTCTGTGCTCGGGGGTGTGTGTGTCCGTTGTGCCGAACTGCACAGGGCTGCTTCAGGCGTGCTCCAAGCAGTCCAACGGGCACAGAAAGAACGAGCAAGCGGAACTGCAGCACAAATACCTTAGCCGAGAAGGGTTTCGCCGAGGCTCCACATGCCGCCGCCTTGCTTGAGTGCGGGACATCAAGAGACCATTTTATGTCACGTGGGCGCCCGAGAGCGCCTTAACGGCCGTACCAGAACTCCGCTGCCTTGCTGACCAGCAGACATGTGCGATGGTGTGCGTGACTGTCGCCGGCCGTACGTGCCTTGGCACGGCCGTGGGTATTGGATGCTAGGATTGTCCGGTTTGAACCGTTTTTTGTGCGTGAAAAACAATTCCATTCCCCGAAGCTCGGAGGGGTGGTTTCTAGAATTTCTCTCTCCACCTGCTAGCCCTCTTGATTCTTGCTGTGCGAGAGTGCATCGGTGCATGGGACAGGCTCCAGCCGTTGGTCACCAGCGTTTTGCAGTTGCGTGCTGTTTCTACTCCTATCTATGTTTTAACATTGAAATCCGTCAGTCCCTGCTCTCATGGACGAAAGGATAAAAAGGGATTCGCACAGCACGCTCTCATGAAGTGAGCGTCATCACTGAACTGATCCTGAGTGCAAAGTAGCCGAAACGATCAATCAAAGTTGTCGTTACAACAAACAAGTTACGACTAAACAAGTTACGACTAAACAAGGTACAAAATCCACACCCTTCCAGTAAGCAGTATTCGAGACCGCGACACAAATAGCCAGAATTGTGTAAATGCCCCGGACAAAGATCCGCCTGGAACTTGCTTGTACCCTGTGGACATTGTCTGAAGTGGCGCTACCCCTCCGGGGTATTGTCATCTTGGTGACGTCACAATCAAAGGCTCGAAAATTTCTCTAACTCGTGCAGCGTGAGCCTCCTTAGTGAGCTCTTGCGGTATCATCGGCGACAGATCCTGCTCCAATGCTCTGCGGGCGCAGTCCACTGCCGCGTAGGCATTCTGTGTTGAAACGAAAACAGTTGAGGTAAGACAGTAAGACAGATATGGCTGGCTCATGGGAACCACCTGGGGTTGTTGAAGAACCAAGTATTGAAGAACCAAGTAGAGAAGGAATGGACGCAATAGTGGAGGCCAGAGAGGAACACTTCTCTTGGGTAGTGGTACGCACCCATGGCTCCCAACTCAGTGCCGCTGAACAGTTGGCACCGACGTGAGGCAACAGGAGGCCCAACACCTGACCCGCTATATTGCGCAATACGCAAAAACTTGTCCTCATCACGTGTGTGTACGTACATACAAGGGTTTATTGCCAACGGTAGATCTGTTGTAAGACAGCAAGGTACTTGACTACCCTACGCAAGAGACGAGAAGCCTCAGGTTTCGAGTCAAGTATCGGAATTGAGCACACGACTGTTGGCAAATGCGATCGTACAAGGGAAATGTCTCAAACAGAAGTTCCGGGTTTCAGCCTTAGCCTCGCAGCCTTACATGCTGTTCGAAGGAGCACACGTATGGCTCTCCGACGCGTTGTGCCAGGAATGGGTGTTGGGAGTTGTAGATCTTCTTCTCCGGCCTTAAGAAAATAGGGTTAAGGTAGGCGCACCCAGCTCTCACCGCATCCACGGCGGATGGGCCCAAAAGCGGATTGCCTGAAAAAAAGATAGAGATTGACGTGGCACCAGCGAAGATATCAGTGGCAAACTTGATGGTCAGGGGGTCCATGGACTGATGGTCAGCGGGTCCATGGACAAATCTCCCAGTGATGCTGTGTCTTGCGAAGCTGACGGTCAAGGACTCGACAGAGCGATTGGATCCGGGTTGGCCTCGCGAGTGCTGTTACATCCGTAACCACGAACGGTTACAGCATCGGCATCTTGAGAAGACGCCACAAGTATTGTACGTGATTCGACTGGTGCAACGATAGGGGTGCACCAAACCTTCCAAGGGCCATAAAGGAGTAACCTCAATCAACAAGTGACTTTCATGGAAACGAAGGTGCAAACACGACAGGAACTCCCATGAGCTAGGCGGATCAGTGGTAGCGTTTCAAGTTAATCACGATATTTCAAGAGTATGGGCACGTTCCTCAGTTGAGGAACCCCGAAGATGAAAAGACCATGGACCTTAATGTATTGCCGTGGCTGGGCCAATACGGCGGCAAACGCTGGTTTCAAGCATACACGTCTGGCTGCAGAAGGGCTCACCCAGGCCGATGATGAACTTTGACTCCTGTAGCAACTGATTCCACTCGTCTGGGGGGAGATGGCCGTGGTATACGATGTTGTCATGCCTGCCGAGGAATCGAATGCAGTGAACATCGTCACTCAAGTTGTAGGAAGAAGCCTAATGGAGTAAGCGGGCTTTCTACACACCCAAGGATATCCTTCTGTGACAGGCCCGTCGTTATACAAGCAGGTAAATAGAGCGGTACACCAACTGCACAGCGGTGGCCATATACATATGCGCCATTCCTTCCGGACCGACGCATGTATTCTACTCGGGAGAGGATACCCTCAACTCGACCGCTGTCCACCCAAACGCCCATCTGCGGGCACTCTTCTAGACGAATGCTTGGGTCAGATCAAGTCTATATCGAAGACTTCGTTCTACAACGAAAGGCGCGTGCTTACATGATGAACGCGTCCTCAGGCGCAACGGTTGAATGAAGCTCTACCATGTCGGCGAGGGCTAGGATGAGTCTTCTGTTTCCAAAGAGCTTGTCCTTTGTCTTACCCCAGATGACTCCTTGCCTTCGTTTTGTCGCCGGTTTACTCAAAGGTGTCTTGTTCCGTCTGATTCGCCCCAAGGACAACAATGACGCACAATGGCAATGGTGGATACAAAATTTAAAGCGGATACCAGTGGAGATGGCAGTGTGGTACCGCGTCGAGCCAAGCAACATAGCGGTAGCTCGATAAACGTCAGCACAGCCAGCTCACAAAAGCTACACGCTCCAGACTGTTCATGGGCTGGATGGTGCAGTCTCCCGGAATACCGAAAGAAATCATCTGTAACCTTCATGCTGCCCACCAGACCTTTATTCTGAGTAATTGACAAACGTGATGCTACAGTATTGTTTCCCCAACGACTGGAAATAACCAATAACCCAACGATGTGGATGGTGCCAACGCACAACCGTATTTCGTCAGAAAAGCTTGCACATCCGACTGGCGATGGACACATTCGACGGTTATCGTGATCCACAGAATAAAGGCCCAGGATGAGGTGTCACAAGTTGGATTTTAGGACCTTCGAGGCGTTTTCATTTTCTACATTAGGCTTCTCAGTGCAAAGATTTCCGCCGAGTTTTGCGAACGGTCTATCCCATGAACCTCCTCATTGAACTATGCTTTCAATAGAATCCACGGAACGATTCTGGGAAGCCTGCGGGAGAATTAGTCCCCGCCAACCTCTGCGTACAGCTCACATAGGATCCACTCGATACCCCAGAAATGTCCGCTGGTGCTCCGCCGTAACCAGAAAGGCTGTAAGGTGTCGCGTTAGCGGCACTCCCAAGTTGGCATGCGGCTCATCCGAGCCGAAGTAGTCTAGAATGAACATCTTGCCCCGATGATCTTGGAGCTGGGACTTTAGCTGCCAACCTGGGTTGTGCCACAAGATGGGTAGTCGGGGGAGACGCTCAATACGGGGAGCAAACGGTTGTTCAGTCTCCATTGTCATACTATGTATTGGCAACCGATTCATGAAATTCATGGAGCTAGACCGCATCACTCGAGCACACTTGTAGGTCTATACGAAAAACCCTTATCACACCTGTAGGGTGTGGAGGGGAGATGGCCTCGCCCGCGGATACAAACCGACGAGTAATGCTCCGCGGCGTCGAAGAGATATGTTGTTGTTGTTATGTTGTTGTTGTTGTTGTTGCCTTCTATCCGTACTAGTCAAACACTTGAAGATGTGAAGATACCTAAAACCAGATTTTCTTGGTTCCTCAGTTTCGAGGTAAAGCGATGAGCTTTGGCTCTTTTCTCCTCTTTTTTTTCTGTCCGAAACCCCCCCCGTTCATTACGTGTTGGCGAAAAGCACGACTTCCTCGGGTAGTTTTCTTCGCCTTGATGTTACGTGGGAAAATTTGCATAGATAGCTGTATTGTTCATGAAGAGTACGGGGGGGGCTGGATGGAGCCCGAACGATGTTTGTGTGAAGACAACGACAACAACGACGACGACGACGACGACAGCAACGTCAACAATAACAACGACACAACGGCGATGATGGGCGCGTGGCTATATTTCTGCGACAAGAAGTATTTCCTTGGCCAGTTTTCGTTGACCGGAAACACATTACCGCAGTCTTGTAGCTATTCGTGGACAGGAATTGCCTAGATGACGTCTCCTGATGACATACTACGTCACCAGCCTCCAACAACCATCGTTGTCCTCAGCACAGAAATCCAAGAAACAATGATTTTCTTCGATATGTGGTTTCCTATACTATCGCAAAATCGGGTCATACACGATAGTGTTGTCCGGGCAATTACCGCACCCACACCATCTGATTACAGTAGTGCCCAAACCCGAACGAGAGTCAGACCTCAAAACACGCTAGTACCCGGTTGCTAATTGGTACCCGGTGTCTCGCATGATCTCCACTGTCTTCGCCTTACCCTTTCCTGCCCAGGTCCAAGGGTCGACAACAACTGCGTTGTAGACACCCATTGCCTCGGCTCGTCGTTCAAAGTCACCATCAGACGTAGCCACCTCCACCTTCAAGGGTGCAGATTATGTAGACGAGTGCGCAAAAAAAGCGTTGGATATCGAATGCTACAGTAGATGGTGAACCACCGCGCTTCGGAGCGATGGTAGCCTTGCGACAACGGCACTCAAGCGCAAGAGGGGAGTATACAGCCGCAGCGCATAAACTATTTAGGTAAGACTTTGCAAGAAAAATTGGTACGGCAGGGCAACACCCATGGCTCCAAGCACACTTAACACACGTACATGTAGCTCGCGATGGCCGCCAAACCCTCCCGGCGATGTAGTCTACCCAATGCTTCTCGGGATATAGCACGGGATGAACCGATCGTGCATTTAACCTCAACGTCTCGCAATCTCACTATACACGCTCACCATACACGCCAACCACAAGATTGCTAGGTAGACTGCCCAAGATTGCTACCTACACGTTGTTTGGGTAATCGAATTCTGTAAGTGTTCTGAAATCCATTCAGCACACTTACAGATCGACGGTTGGCAAATTGAGACAAACATGTTTTTGCTGTGAAGCCTGCATGAAACACAGTTGAAGCTTACAGGTCACTCCTTGTCCATCGGCTACATGTTGTCGGAAAGGTTAAAGCAGCCATGGAATATATTCAAAGGGGCAAATATGACATTATCACATATATCCAGGCGAAAATCTTCTTCGCACCTCAACGCCAGCTTCCGTCAAAGTCCTTGTCAAGCTCTCACGAATGATTATCTCTCCGGCTGGTCCACCCTTCATGCTCTTTGCCACCGTCGTTTGGATCGAGTCCATCGTGTAGATCAGTACCCGCATTCCTTTTCCCCAAACACACTCTCTGTGGTCAAGACCAGTGTGACTTGCTCCACCAACGTCACTGCTTCCACGATTGCTCACCCTGAAACCCCCCGCACTATCTCTCCGATCCCCGGGAGGCTCGACGGATCGTGGGTCTCCGAATACGGGAAAATCATCCGGTCCGTCGCTCCCACGCAAGCTGTTCGAAAGTTGTATCTGCAGCTCTGCGGGCATTGCTTCACCACGTCTTCCAGCACTATATGCCGTGTTCTGACTGGTAGTCCTGCGGTGTTGGTAGCCGTGCACAGGAGGTCCCTGTCCAAGTTGATCAATCTTTGGCTGTTGATTTCGGGAAGGATTCCAACCGGGGCGCAGAACGAAGAGCAGCCTTCCTACAGTGAGGTACAACAACAGGGACGATATGACGTTCATCGCGCCACGTACGGGCTGTCCATGTGGTCGTGCCATGCCCTGGCCATGCGCGTGCAGGATAGTCTAGTGTCGCGACGTCGCAACGAACAATCAATCACCTCATCACCGAAGAGCAACGACGGGGAGCTGGAGAACCGAACCATCTGGTCTTCACTTTTGTTGTTCCTCTTCGGCGGTTCGTGGGTCGTGGGCGGCATATTTCGCCGCTGAGATGAGCCACCAGGAGAGAGGACAACCAGACAGGAGCGGGCGTTTGGAGCGTGAAGGGAGGTTGTGTGAAACCAGAGGGGGGGAAACGGGCGGGTAATTCTGTGATGGAGTTGCTTAGTCAAGGCGCCGAAGCGGTGAGATCGCCACCCACTTTTTGCGTATTGCACCCCCTTGATCTCGTGTAGCCTGCAACAACAGCAGAAGCACTGCTGTAGACTGCATCAGCTGCTTTAGCGCCCCCAGCGACTCACGTCCTGCTTTAGGATAGGCAATCAAAATGGTTAGGTTTCAACTACTCGCGCGCTGTTGATGTCCACGCCTGCTGATGCTTACCAAACTCAGCGGGTCTTCGCCACGACGTTCTGCGGCCGTCCGGCGGTGGTCAAGGAGCGCTTCCGAAAAACCTACCGCCTGCCGGCTCTGGATGAGAAACTCACGACAAAGCGAACGCTACAAGTGAGTTGGAAGGCATTGGATCGTACGCATGCAGATCGTAAGCGATATTTGTTTGGATATGGACCCATGGTTCCATCTTTTCCCCCTTTATCAAGAGCGACGTGGGTCTTTGCGATGCCGTCGTTGCTGTGAGTTTTGGTTCTTCACTGCAACCATACATATCCATCTGGCGAGCACAGCGCAGCAGTACGCCTCGATCTTCTGTCGCTTGTCTCACCGAAAAAATGCGTTGCGTTGTTGAAATCAATGCTCGTGCATAATTTCAGTCGTATGTGGCTGTTTCTTCAGCTTGTTCTTATTTGTCGCCCTTGGTGTAAAGGTGTCGGCGGAGTATTGTGTTGGTCTACAGCAGTATGTGCTGATGGTTGCCTCTTTTCGGCTGGGGTCCGCAGGAAGCGAGATGCATGCTCAAGGCACGCAAGGCGGGAGTCAGGACACCGTGCCTCTACCAGCTGGACAGCGCCAACACCAAGATCACTATGGAGAAGGTCGACGGAATCACGGCGAAACAGTTCTTGCTGGACTGCCTTCAGAGTGAGCGTGCTACTCTCGGCCTCGATACAGCACCCCTGGGCACTGCCGTTGTACGGCGCTATTGTGCTTGTTTGTAGACTTCGGACTGTGCTTCAGTTGCACGTATAACGTAGCGCATCAGGTAACCTTCAACGAACGGAACGGTCATCCAGCAACCCTCTCGCTCGCAAGCCTTCACTGAACAGGTGGCCATAGGGTTTCGTTTCAAGTCCATTGCACGAGCTTGAACGTTGTGGTGTTGGTTTCACAGCTGTTCAACAAGGAGTCCTTTATTCGGAAGGAACTGGTCCAGTTTGCACCAGTGGCCGATGGTAGTCTGGAACAGTTTTGTAGTGGTGGCTCTCGAGGTCAGTTGCTGCTGTTGTTCAAATCCTTTCGCTAGTCGCACTTGCCTGTCCGAGAGACCAAACGCACTCAAATCAAGCTAGCAAAACCAGGACACCCGAGCCGCTTGAACCGTGGGCTTGAAGGACCAAATGTTCCCGAAACAGGCACTAATCCAATTCACCGCGCGGCCCCTTTACCGCCAACCCTTGTCATGCCCGTCCATTTGTCCCTGCGTCCTTGGGTGGGTCTTGGTTCTTGCTGCCGCTACCTGCTGTGCTGTGCTATCGGTTCTCGACGACGACCTGCCTGCCAGAGGGAGATTCTGCGGCCGCCCTCAAGGTTGCGGGAGAGATCGGGAAGATGGTGGCCAAGATGCACGACGCTCAGGTGAGCCACCTAGGCCCAACCCTCGCTTTGTTTTTCCAGCAGCTGCTGTTGCCGAATGGTTTTGATTTTGCACGCTCCAACTGTTGCAATCTTCATAATATCGGGCTCCTACGTAGGTGGACTGTATCGTTGTTCTGGTCTGTGAGTGTCACCATGTCTGAGGAGGCGAAAAGCAAGCTCCGCGTCTCCGACAGCGCACCTAGCTTTTGTTGACGCCACGCGGTCTGAGTGGCCCTAGTCGTTGAATTGTTACGGGTCCAACGTCCAATCTGCCTGTCCCAAGGTGGTGCACGGCGATCTGACAACGTCCAATTTTATGGTTCGGAGCGGTCCCGGAGAAGGAGATGTAGTGGCGATCGACTTCGGCCTTGCTTCGTCGAAACCACTCCCGGAGGACAAGGTGAGCGTGCAGGAACGAGAATTACGAACTACGAACAGAAGGGCTTTTGACGGCGGATGTGGTTGCCAAGGGCCATTCCCAACCGAAACGTGTCTCGCGTTGCTGCTGATGATGATTCTCGCACGCTGGTGGTAGTCACGTCCCGCGCGCTCTGGAATTGCCAAATGATGATCATCTTGAAGCGGGCTGTTGAGCTTGTGGCTTGTTTGCCGGCTGAAGCTGGGGCCCAGTGTTTGACTTGTATGGCCTCGGTATGAGTCACTGTTGTACTGGTATGTAGTTGAGAATCGAAGAAGAGCAGCTTGTAGTCTTTGTGTTTACTGACTGCTTGCTGGGCCCGTGGTCGCACTGGGTGGCATTGCTTCCCTTGTTCGATGAACGATTAACCATCAACGAGTTGAAAGGTTGATCACCACCACGAAATGGATAATTGTAGTATTGTCGTTTTCTCTCCCAACACGTTCAAAGATACTCCTTGCAATGGGCAACTTCTTTTTACCCAGACCAACACGATGCAATGGTTGCGGCTATGGTTGAGGCGAAAGGCCATGTCTTCCCTTCTTGAGCGCATTTCTCATCGCGTTCGTGGTAGGTGTAGACAGGCCCCTTGGCGTAACCTGGTCCGGCAGTGTGTCCTTCGTCGGGGTGATGTTGCAATTCAAAAGTGAAACGAATTTTGTCTCTTGGCCGGAAAACCTACGCAGGCGGTTGACCTGTATGTGCTGGAGCGGGCGTTCATTTCCACGCACGAAAACGCGGATCCCTTGGTGAACGAGGTCATGCGAGCTTATAAGGTTTGTGCGAGCCATGATTTGTTAGCACAAGAATGCTTGCCGGCATCTCATGCATCCTGTGTGCCAAGCAGACCAGGCTCCGATTTATCTCGCTTGCAACCTGCCTAGCCTCCGTCGGCTGAATAAACGCAGAGAAAATCTATCTAGTGGTCCACGACACCGATGGGTAGTCTGATCATGTAACAGAGGATGCTGTAGTGTTGAGGACGGGTAGTATCTTTCCTCGGTGAGGGTTGCCCGTGAGTGACTGATCGATTGAGCCGTTTTCGTTCGTTTCATCGACAACTTTGTGGGTACAATTCAGCTTGACTGTTACTGCTCCACATGTTCGTTTGAAGCCACGTTTGCCTCCATTGTTCTATTTTGTTTGCCAGGGCTTATTTAGTCCAGGCAGCTTCTCCTCACCTATGTATCGCATCGTACCATGACATGTCAATCATGCCACCCATATTGCCACAAAATTCCGTATGTTCGTGGTTCGTCTCCTATCGTGTGTCGCCAAAATAGGCGGCATCGCGCAAGGCGGATGCGACGCTACACAAACTATCTGAGGTTCGACGGCGAGGGCGAAAGCGAGAGATGTTTGGGTGATGCCATTTTCTGCGTCCTGTTTTTCCACTGGTCCTGAAGCGAGCGAAAAAATGGTAATATTGTTACCGTGCGTCTGTTGTCCAGACCAAAGAGGACGGAGCGGAAGATGCCCGGTGGTACATCACTCAATGGTGCTCCAAAAGTGTGACTGACAGACGAATTTTGGAGCAGCGCCGGTCGCAACATTTTTTGCTTCGCTCGTACCGGATGGGTGACCAAAAGAAGAATTGTGTATGGCAACTCGACGAGTATCGTCGCGTTACCTGTCTGAAGCTTTCGATTTTTTCAGCGGGTAACAATCAAGGTAGACACCAAGAAGACGCCCGATGAGCACACAGGAACCGGGGGACCCCAAAAACAAAAAACAAAGCATGAAAAATATAAAAAAGAAAGAAGCGAGAACAAGAGAGCCAGACGCGACAGGCTTCAGGGAGGAGGCAAAAGAGAGCACAGAAAAACCACCATCGCTGCTCGCCCTGAACTGCTGGAAGCTCTCACATAGCACTGCATATGCAGCAAACATTAGCTAGGGCCCAAGTCCATTGCTTGACATAAAGAGGCAGCGCCCATCGCTTTACATGCAGCAGCCGGATGAATGGGGAGCCTCTTCATCGAGGAGCAAAACGACTGCGGTTGACGTTCGATGTTGTTGGGACCCCACCGGCGAAAGGCGAGAGAGAGAGAGAGAGGTACACTAAAAGAGGAGAGTTGAGAGAAGACAAGGCACTAACTCTCGAGAAGACACTCCCTCTCGTCCCTCTGGTCCACCGCAGGCTGTCAGACAGCGAAAGAGAGCATAGAAAAGCCACCGTCGCCGCTCTGAACCGCTGGAAGCTGTCGCACAGCACTGCATGCAGCAAACAGTAGGGGCCATGCCCATTGTTTCACGTAAAGAGGCAGCGCCCATCGCCTCACATGCAGCAGGCGGGTACACGGGTAGCCTCACTCAGCAAGAAAAAAAACGATTGCGGTTGACGTTCGATGTTGTTGGGACCCCAACGGCGACAGGCGAGAGAGAGACAGGTACTACTGTAGACCAAAATAAGGGAGCGTCGAGAAGGCATTAACTCTCGAGAAGACACTCACTCTCGTCCCTGTTGATAGATATACTTGTAGCAATGCCAAGTGGTTGTAGGATTGTGTGGTACGTGGAATGTATTTCCAGGGTGTGCAAGGTACCCCTGTTGTATACTGCGTCGCCCCCTCATGGTGGTGCGTGCACGCGTGCGTGCAGTCCATGTCTGTCCATGTGTCCATGTGTCCATGTTCGTTCATGTGTTCATGTGAGTCCATGTTTTTCATGTGAAGAAGAAGTCTATACAACAAGCCCAGCACATCTTTCCTCCTTGGCGCGAGTTCGCCGAGTTGCCGACACCCTATTCAACACACGTCTTGCGACAAGCTACCCCCAGTTCGGATCATCCTAACACGCTAGCGTGTGATATCACACGGGATCCCGAGGTGAGGGTAGCTATAAAAGGGTTCGGCTAGAGAAGTAGATCATGGAAGCCCTCGACCTCAGCAGCTTAACTGAAGAGGACCGCCAAGCATTATCGGCGCACATCAAAGAGGAAGTGGAGAAGGGAGTACAAGAAAAAATCAAGTTTACCGAAGAGAAGCGTCCCGCATCAGAGAGCGTGGACAAGCCCCCCAATGGAGGCGATCCCCGGCATGCTCGGCCGGCTGGAACAGCGTTAGACCCGCAACCTGAAGACCAGCCACGATCGTTGGAGGACCGTCTCGTTGAGTCCTTCGCGCGGGCAATGCGAAGGACCAACACCCCGGGGGAGGAAACCAGGGAAGTCTTACCCCCTAAGGACACCATCCGTGTCAGTCCTGTATGTAATACATGTAGCCCCATTTACGGGTGTGTTTGATTCTAGTGGCGATGTCCAGGTTGGAGTACAGGTTTTTGAGAGCCAATTTCGAATGTTGTTGTAACACTGGAGATGCCGAGCAGCAACACCATCAGCATGCGCCTACTAAGGTCGTAGATCCGCTCAGGCACGTGATGATCTGCTCACCGTTTTACGTCTGAAGTGGTTTTGGTATATGCTTGCATGCTTGTCTTCGTCGATTTCGTTTGGGTGTGCTCCGATAAACCTACAGCACACCTTGTTGAGTTCTGCATACATACGCGTCATCATCATGCACATGTTTTTCCTGAAAGGTACAGCAGTAGACCCCATCAAAGGGCGTTCTATTCTTGATAAGGTTGCCAGTGATCCACACAAAACTGCGAGGTTAAATGGATATTGATTCACGTAAGGTTGCCAGTCACCTACACAAAACTGCGAGGTTAAATTGATATTGCGTCACGTAAGGTTGCCAGTCACCCACACAAAACTGCGAGGTTAAATGGTTATTGCGTCACGTAAGGTTGCCAGTCACCCACACAAAACTGCGAGGTTGTATGGCTACTACGCCACGTAAGGTTGCCAGTCACCCACAGAAACTGAAAGATTAGATGAGATTATCAGCGAATCCTAACCAAGCTGCTGCATATACCTTCTTGAGTGCTTTGAAGTTGATGGGAATATTTTGTCCCGTATGTGTTAAAATACAGAGATTGATCTCCGACTCATTATTTTTGCGTTCACGTCGATAACGGGAATGCGAAGACGTCATGAATCTTTGTACCCTCTACCGACAATGAGTTGCGTGTTACGAACAGGAGTCTGTTGCATGTCTAGCGGTAGGAGTTGTAGGGGGATACACTTGGAAATTTGGTCAGGGGTCTGTGTAACCGACAGGAATACATGGAAATGATCTCCATTTCGTACCAGAACACTGTATGCACGAAAGCAGCGCAGTGGTTGCACACCAGTAAGAAGAAGATGTGTTGGGTTGTTGATCAGAAACACAGCTGTGTAAGCTCTAACATGGATCCAACATTGTTGTTTGCGTGACCGAGGAATAATTAACCTTGTCAGACAAATCGCAAGAATCGTTGTGTCACTTTTACGAAAGAGGAGTAATTAACCTCAGTCGTAGATTGGCGTTCGATTTGATAGGTAACCATGATGTCGTACAGAATGCGAAAGACAACGATCACTGCTGCGCAGAACAGGGGGCGTATTGCAAGGTATT